TTAAGTGGTGGTCACCTATTCATATTGGCTTGTAGGCCATTTAAAGTTAATTTCATGTAAGAATGTGTTTGTCTCCATTGGTTTGACATGACTGTATTGTACTCGAGCCTTGTTTGGAACCGTGGTATTTGTAAATAGAAGCACATGTTTTGGCTTAAATATTTTTATGGGATCTCCATTTCATTTTGCTCTATAGTTGGTCATGTGATACCTGTCACATGTGGTACTGAAGCTATTGCTGCCCTATTCATTGCAGCCCTTAGATATGTTAGGGATGGTATACTTTGAATGTTTAAGTATTCAGTACTTACATTAACCATCACCTTCATGGGATAGGTACATACCCACCTTGACATTTTTAAGATTGGCTTAAAATCATTTTCAGCAAGTCTCCTGAAATTTTCAGTGTTTAATAGATTTAACAAGTATTCTGAAATGTGTTAAGTACAGGTCATATTAGGCTAGTGACCTAACATATATGTAGTCTAATCATGTAAGACAAAAACTTGTCAGTTTTGTTGACTTCTTTTCTGGCAGGATAGTTTATTTATCTGATAGCTTGGAGGTCTCCATTTTGGAGCATTTTGCAGCATTGCTGGCATTGGCCTAGCCCTGCCATTTACTAAATGGTAATGATGAACCAATTATGTCACAATAGGGGTGCCTCATTGAGCTTCCATCACCTTGAGGTCTGATCTGTGGTTGTTTATGTTTCTTTTCCATTACCCTTTAGCCCAGTGCAATCCTTAAATAAGAATGACATTCATTCCCAGATTGTCATTGTGACCTCAGAAATGTCAGCATTGGTCATTGACCTAGTTTAAACTGAAACTGATGTTTTGTGTGAATCAATTCTAACAAGCCACAGCTGGTGTCAGTGAAAAGGAACAGAATTGGTCAGCAGACATAGACTTAGAGAACCAAAAATGTCCTCAGTGAACTGTCCTGGCTTTTGCTATAAATTTCATTCTGAGAGATCATGTATGTGCAGTTGTTGTAACATATTAGATGGATGAATCCAAAGAGATAAGCTCAAGAGATGTTATTTAGAAAAAATGTGATCAAAACATGACCAGATGGCATGTTGCCTGATACTGACCTGGAATCTGATGTCATGTCCCAAATGACCAGAAATACATCTTGTTAGACTTTGTATGAGCTATCCATGTAATGTTTCATTCATCACTTCTGGCTATTTCCTACCATAAGATACCAGGGGTAATATCAACACTCCTTTTTAGACTGTTGGTGATGCCAAAAATCCATGCATTGTCATTTCAGCATGTCAACCTGCTGTGATCTGCCCAGATAATTCACTGCTCTGATTTCAGTAAGAGTGTGGAGCAGCTCATGCTGGAGTCTGGACTCTGCCTAGACCATCCTGCAGCTGCCAGATTTCATGAGCACATTCTGTGTGGGGAATGGGTCAAGGTGAGTGCCAGGTGAAGACAACAGCTAGGCTTACTTTGCTTTGTCTTTGTTGTTTGTCTCCATTGTGATGTTGTGATCTAATTTGTGCCATGAACATGATGAGGCATTAAAGCATATCAGTCAGACTTGCAATGATCTCTATCTCCATCTAATCATCACCATATTTGGGACCACCCCAGATATGGTGGATCCAAGCATTCCTTAAATGCTTTTGCATTCCTTAAATTTGCCTGATTTCCTGTTTTGATAACATCCAGAATGCACAAACTAAGTTCGCCACCCAGCCTGGCTGGCCTGCTGCCACAGGCTGGTCCCATCACAAGCTTACCTGCCTTGTTCCAGGCTGAGGCAGGACCTGCAGGAGCTGAAAGGACTGCTGGATCATCCAGAGGATGTGACTGTCAGTAGATCATTTTCTGTGTTGTTACTGTGCTGATGCTGTGATCTCTGCTAGCTGTTTGTGCTATGAACAAGGACTGGTGCATCCAAGGACAAGTTCATGTGGTCAGCTGAAATAGCAGTAGCCTTGGTTAGTCTAGCTTACAGCCACTTGCATGATGGAGATCATTTTGTAATGCTGTTATACCCTAAGAGCTGTAGTGCTCAGGCCTGGCAGACAAAGATATGTAATAGGCAGGAACATTATTGAAGCTGTGAACTTATTGGCAACCTCATTAGCAGAAGTTGATTGCCTTGTTAAGCCTTAATGACAGTGACCCTGTTGGCATCTGAAACAGTGTTGGATCTAGATACCCTTTATGGTGAAAAAATACTTCCCCTTCCTCTCTTTTCATTCTTGACCACAGGTTCACAAGAACATGCTTCATTTCCAATGGATCATCAAGCCTCCTCACCAGATGTGTGCAAGTGTATGTGCCCTGCTTTTCATGCAGTGTTCTATTTAATGTCCCAGTGGGCTCTGTGGCAGTGTCATGGTTTCGGTTGCTGTAGCAGGTGACGATGTTCAAGTGCTCTACAGTCCACAAAAGCAGTGCCCTCACCGAGCACCGCGGTCAGCCAGGGGTGCAGCTTGCGGTTGCTCAACTGCCAACCGTGCCCGCCCGTGCAGTGGCGGCCAAAGTTAACCTATGCCGTGAATGTAATTGCAAACCACAAGCTCCTATTTGAAAGTCTGCTATAGACCCTGTGCCCGCGACCAACACCCTTAACTAACCTTATAGGCGTGGTGCGTGCATTTCACGAATCCGGCTTAAGCACCATATTTAGAACTACTGTAATTAAGGTAATACGGCAAGCAGCTCAACGCCACAACGTTGCCTGCAAGCACAGACTATTATGGCATTAGCTCTCCCACTCTGAACACACGACGCACCAACTGTGCCTTCAACCAATTTCGACGAGTTTCAAGCAATATCGATGGTCACGCATTCGCGTGTAGATGTTTGTGTTTACTTGGGGCCCTGCCGAAAGTGCGGTCGTATCTGCACGAGTTTAAGAATTTGATTCGTGCGTTTTTCTAGTGTGCAAAACTCACCTCACCTCACCTCACCTCACCTCACCTCACCTCACCTCACCTCACCTCACCTCACCTCACCTCACCTCATCTCGCCTCACCTTACGGCTCATTTCACGCTGCGCGGTCTAGATGGAAAGAAAAGGAGCGATATGTTGTTTTCACGCGTAACATGCTTGAGAGCTACGGACCGCCAGCGTCTCATATACCACATGCTCGGTGATGTGGGCACTGTGCCGTCCAACTTCGCTGGCCTCGTACCGAGTTGTGAAAGACGCCGTTGCCTGGCGGAGGGCAAAGATCGCGCCGACTGCACGTATTGCGCGGAAGAGGTTCGCGCCTGGACCCCGCTAGTGTGGGAGGTGCCACGGAGGGCATGATCTTGTGCAAAACAGGGCCCTGTTTGGCCATGACCACGACATTGTTTGGTACGTATTCCAACATTTGGTCCGGGCGTGAGAGCTGTGGTGCGCTTTATTCTCCCGTCGACTACACAGTCTTTTTTTCTCGATCCATCGTATATCTCTATCTCGATAGCACTATTGACTACAACAGCGCATGTCACCAGCAACTCATAACATCCGATACTGGGGTCGAAGGTCGTGCTGGGCCGTGAGATAAGGTCGTCAAGTTTGACCCTTGTCCCCATACTTACCGGTCGCTACGCACAATATGTGCACATGTAGACATATATATATATATATATATATATATATATATATATATATATATATATATATATAATATATATATATATATATATATATACATAATGTGGTGATTGTGCATGTGCTGTATATTTGCGGCATTCCAGTAAGAGCACATCATATGTATCCAATGTATTGCCACCAGCACACGTCGGCTCCGTGTAGTATATCGCAAGCAGAGCCTGGCAAAGCGTACCTAATTTGTTCGAAGGTTGCCGAATTCACTTGTATTCCTCTTACGCTAAGCGACTACCCCGAAATTACTTGCAGCGTTTTAATGTGCAACAACTAAAATTAAATGACCTAACGCCGAACAGCTACGCTACCTCGCAGTAATTGGTTGTGCTACTTGCGCAGTTACGCGGCGCAAAATGGATGCGTTCGTTCCAAATAGATTCTATTACGCCGAATGATGAGGGGGGGGGGGGGGCTTTAGTTCAACATGGCCCGACTAGGCAAGTGCTGGCGAAAACGTGCAGTAGCTTGACGGGTAGTGTCGGAAGAGACCGAAACCGGCAAGAATTAACAGACCAACCTGGTCGTAGCCCCTCGCCTACTGCGCCGACCGCCGAGATCTACTTTTGGAGGACATGACGGTCTCTTTATGTCCCGCATCTTAGAACACTTAAATTGTCTGTCTATCATGCCACTGTTGGCTTCTGATCTTTGCAGAAGATGCGGTTTCTGCTGTTGGAGCAGAAGTACCTGGAGCTGCTGGAAGATGGACGTGCCATTGATGCCCTGGACGTGTTGCGCCACCAGCTGACGCCGCTCAAGCACAACGTCCAGCGGGTCCACCAGCTCAGCAGGTATGGCACCCCTCCTGTCACCAGCTCAGCAGGTACGGCACCCCTCCTGTCACCAGCTCAGCAGGTACGGCATCCTGTCACCTGTTTAGCAGGATATCGAAGCAGGCCATGCGCACCATCCGTACCTTTGAAAGGCAGTGGTGTGTGGTTGTGTGTGTGTGTGTGGTGTGGTGTGTGGTGTGTGTGTGTAGTGCGTGCGTGCGTGCGTGCGTGCGTGCGTGCGTGCGTGTGTGTGGGGCGCGCGCGCGCGCGCGTGCGCGTGCGAGTGCGCGTTGTGGTGTGTGGAGGAGCAGGGGAAGGGGCAATTCGGGTTATGGACCAGAAGTGATTGCTACACTGTTTTATATCAATTCAGTGGTCCTCCATGTCTTGAGATGTCCGGGTGGGCGCCACGTCGTGAAACGTAGGGCGACGGTGTTCCTCTTATGAGTGTTTAATGGTGCATTGGTCCATGAAGGAGCCAGATAGTGGCAGACTGAGGCAGTGTTGGTGGTCGGTGTCGGCCGGTGCTGCCCCGGTCCCTGTGTCGGCTGGTGCTGCCCCGGTCTCGATGTCGGCCGGTGCTGCCCCGGTCCCGATGTCGGCCGGTGCTGCCCCGGTCCCGTTGTCGGTCTGTGCTGCCCCGGTCCCGATATCGGCCGGTGCTGCCCCGGTCCCAATGTCGGCCGGTGCTGCCCCGGTCCCGTTGTCGGTCTGTGCTGCCCCGGTCCCGATGTCGGCCGGTGCTGCCCCGGTCTCAATGTCGGCCGGTGCCGCCCCGGTCCCGTTGTCGGTCTGTGCTGCCCCGGTCCCGTTGTCGGTCTGTGCTGCCCCGGTCCCGATGTCGGCCGGTGCTGCCCTGGTCCCGATGTCGGCTGGTGCTGCCGCAGTCCCGATGTCGGCCGGTGCTGCCCCGGTCCCGATGTCGGCCGGTGCTGCTCCGGTCCCGATGTCGGCCGGTGCTCCCCTGGTCCCGATGTCCCGGTGGGAGTGCGACTGACGTCTCCGGTGTGGGCGCGCTGCTGCAGTTACATCATGTGTAGCACGGCGGAGGACCTGCGGGAGCAGTCTGGCTGGCCGGGCGCCGGCGCCGAGTCTCGCGGCCTGCTGATGTCCCGCCTGCAGCCGTTCCTGCCGCCCTCCGTCATGGTGCCCGGCAGCCGGCTGGAGACGCTGCTGCAGCAGTCGGCCGAGCTTCAGCGCAGCCGCTGTCCCTTCCACAACACGGCCGCCGACAGCGCCGATCACGGCCTGCTGGTCGATCACCTCTGCTCAAGGCGGGTTACTTTCAGCCCCTCCACTTCGCATGTTTGGTTAGCTGTTCCAGGTGCTGAGATGTCGCCCCTGGTGGTATGGTGGCCACTGTCACTCGCCAGTTGAAAGTAACCGGGACTGAGTTGTTAAATGGGGGTCAATGACGATTCTGACTGTACGCATTAGTGGTAACCCGTATATCATTTCTTTCCCAGTTCCGTAATGTGAAGCGTGCTGTATGCTGTCATTTGCATGTGTCTGGAAGGACCACTTAACGCGGCCGCCGGCTGGCTTCCCTATTTGGATATTGTGACCAGCGCACCTGCATGCGCTCTTGCAGGGAACAGTTCCCGACCGAAACGGTGCAGATTCTGCGCCAACACAACGACGAAGTGTGGTTTTGCAAGTTCTCGCCGGACGGCCGGAGCCTGGCGTCCGGCTCCAAGGACAGCACCATCATCGTGTGGGACGTGGACACGGTGAGTGTTGGGCGCCGGCGTGTCGGCTGCACGGGGCGCCGGGCCGCCAGGCGTGCCGTGCCGCCAGTCTGGCATTGCGCGCTGTGATTTGGGCGTTGTTCGTGGCCTTACGCCGACCCAGCCGCAGGGCGGAGCTCGCCCACCTGAGTCTAACCATCGGGGTGGACCGTTGCCAAGTGCTCGGGTTGCCCCATGTGCCGACGAAACGAAACTGCTGCAGTGCGACGAACAACTGACGCGCCGCGCTGGTGGGGATGCTCCTGAGTGCACGGTGCGTGTGTGCGTGACGGACGCCGCACCCTGCCACCGCAGGAGTCGCTGACGGTGAAGCCCCGCCACACGCTGGTGGGCCACAGTGACGGGCCGCACGGCTACCCGCTCTGCTACCTGGCCTGGTCTCCCGACTCGCGCTACCTGCTAGCCGCCCACGAGTCGCCCGAAGTCCGGGTAAGAGTCGGCCCGTCGGCGATGGGGTGGAGCCTGGTCGCCTGGCGACAGGGACCTCAGATCGTGGCGCGGCTGGGGCATGCGTGCACTGCGGAAGGAGTGCTGCAGTATTGTAGCCCGGCGATCTCAATCGAGACCATGGCCCCCGCTGGGGTCGGGGCGCCGTGCTGTATGTGGCATCCCGACCGCTGTTGGCTGCCGTGCTATATCTGACATCTGGCCTCTGCTGGCCGCTGTGCTGTGTCTTGCGCCCCGGCCTCTGCTGGCCGCTGTGCTGTACCTGGCGCCCGGCCTCTGCTTGCTGCTGTCTTGCATCTGGCACCCCGGCCTCCCTGTTCGCCGTGCTGTATCTGGCCTCTGCTGGCCTGTTCGAAATCTAGCTCAGGTCTGAACAATGCCACGGACAGGCCTCCCAGGGAAGTGTAGGGGGAGGTGACGTGTTCAGGGATGGTCCGCCTGCTGTCTGGGCGGCAAACCTCTGCCCACAAGCAGTGTCACCTGTGTGCGTTCAAAGCGGCGGGCAGGCTGCGGCAGGCGTTCTCAGAGGTGGGGGGGGGGGGGGGGGGGGGGCCGGCGGCGGCAGGCGTTCTCAGCCTATCTGTCGACTGAGTGAGGTGACTCTGGGTCCGCGCCGGCTGACGTCGGCTTGGTCCCGCCGCAGATCTGGGATGCCGTCCAGGGAACCCTGGAGAAGAGTGTCAACCACGCCAGTAACGACGCCATCATGTGCGGTGCCTGGCATCCGGACAGTACCAAGTTTGTGTGCGGTGGCACCCACGGACAGTTCTACCTCTTCGTGAGTTGGTGGACCGCCGTGCACGGTCGCCGGCGTCGCCTGTTTTGGTGGTGGGACCGTTTAAATCGGGGGTATCGGCTGCAGGTGCGCAGCAAATTCAGCTGGCTGAAGCTGCCATTTTCACAATGTAGCGGGCTCTGCGGTCCTGTCTGCAGTGGCCAGTGTTGCAGAATCCCGTAGTTTAGCGGCTCGCAGGCCCGAATGTTAGGAATCGTGACGTTTACCCAACGCGGGGCGAGACAGCTGAGACGTGGTCAGGTACCCTGGGATACGCTTTGACCGCCGACTTACATATAACGCGCATCTCAAAATGTTACGCGATCGCTGCTTTAAGTGTCCTAACATTCTGAGGTGTGTGTGCCGCACATCGCACGGGTCAGGCAGAAGCACTTCGATGATAATATATCACTCGCTCGTCCGCTGCAGCTGGATTTTGCATGCTTGACATATGATGGCGCGTTTGAATCCAGCAAGAGTGCACTTGATGTCATTCATCATATCGCTCTTCGTATTATTGCTGGGGCGTTCCGCACATCACCCGTTATTGTTATTATTGTTATTATTATTATTATTGCTATTATTATCAATATTATTATTATGGTTTTTATTATTATTATTAATATTATTATTATTGCGAGCCTTGGCGAAATCCAGCGAGTGGGTATGCTGACGTCGCGTCAGTTAGCTGTATGGCAGAGTCACATGAGCCACCACTGTCGAGGAGGAGGAAAATGCTCGGCATGCGTAATGCCCGTAAGTGGTGGCAGTTCCAGCCTTATCCGACATATCACGCGGCATTTTCTCAATGGCCTGTGAGTTTCCCTCGCGGCGGACCGACTTGTTTCCCTTGCCGTGACTCATCAGGCGGCCGCACGGTGGAGACCGCGTTCTGCGTGCGGCGACCTGTTCAGCAGTGCAGGGACCCGGCTGTCGCACCACCACCTCCCTGGAGCTGCCGTCCGGCGCGCCAACTGTGCCCTCTCCGGCAGGATATCCGGGGCACGCAGCACGACCGCTGGGAGGGCGTGCGCGTGCGCTCGCTCTGGTTCCAGAACGACTGGTCAGACCATACTGGCCGCACGACACACACAACAGGGTTGCCGGATACTACTCGGATGACCCCAAGCCATACGAAATGTACGACCGCGCCCAAAACGCCTGCAGCGTGGATTCTCAGAACATTGCACTGCCATAAGCGGTAGGCACTTCGCAAGGCACTTTCGATGTTGAATCGCATGTCGCCTGGGAAGGGCGTTATTAGTTGTGAAATCCATGTGCAAGTTCAGTAGTCTGAGCCATCAGTCTTCGCCCCACAAGGCCCCTGTTGCTGCTTCAGTTGTGGAGCACGCCGCAGCACAGCCTCCCCCCCCCCCTTCCACCGCCGCTATGTCCAGCAGTTACCTGCCGTGTCATGGTCTGCCACCGCCATTGGTGATTCGCTGACTGCTGTCGGCCTCCCGTCGGGGACGATCACGGGGCGCTGAAGGCCGGCAAGTCTGACGAGAGTGGGACCGTGATGTCCATGTGCATCAATGACACGGGCGGCTGATGTGCCGGCAGTCTGACCGAGAGTGGCGACGTGATGTCCATGTGCATCAATGACACGGGCACGCTGGCTGCACTCAACGTGGCCAACCAGGGCGTCCACCTCTGGGACCTGCAGGTGAGGCTGTAGGACCCACCCCTGGGACCTGCAGGTGAGACTGTAGCACCTACCTCTGGGACCTGCGGTGAGACTGTAGCACCTACCTCTGGGACCTGCGGTGAGACTGTAGCACCACCTCTGGGACCTGCAGGTGAGAAGTAGCACCCACCTCTGGGACCTGCAGGTGAGACTAGCGCCCGCCTCTGGGACCTACGAACGAGGCTGTAACGCCCACCTGTGGAACCCACAGGTGGGACTGTAGCCTGTGGATGACTTAGATGAGACTAGACATTCAGAAGAATCCCAGTGGGAAACACCGTTTGATATTGTGTAATACTTGTGTGATTTGTTCAATACTGGGATGGAGTTCACGAAAGTCCTTCAGCAGAAACCCGGTAGAAAACGCTGTGTGTGCTATTGTTGTGTGTGATGTTGTTCAATCTGCGGGTAAAGGCCGTGAAAGACCTACAGCAGAATCCTAGTGCGAAATACTCTTATACTCTGTCATATGACAGCCGTTTCTGTTACGGAAGGCTTGATGTAGCCTCTACTGAGACCAGTGCGCCCATCCGCACGTTTGTCGTCGGAAAATCTGCAGTTACAGGCACCATCAAGCGGCGGTAGAGCCCCGGCGAGTTGTGTTCTGAACGAATTTATGTAAACACGACTGGCCGATGTTGGACTCGATCGCCAGGCTGTTTATGGAAAACCCCAGTATGTCTGTCGAGGTCCCATTTATTCACGCAGAGGCGCAGCCAGAGTATTGAAAAAGTTGGGCACTGGGGACGGCGAGCATCGGGATTGACTTGGGGCCAGCACGCCCTCCAAAAATTCGCCGGGCTTGGCGCGCTTGATTTCGAGGGGTCCTGGTCGTTTTCGATTTACCTTCGGGCCCCCTGGTTTGGACGCAGATTGCAGAGTGAAATAGGGCCAACAGTTTGTATTGATGTGACTCACCGATTTTTGCACGTGGATGTTCACCTTTTCCTCAGAATCATTTAGTGGAAAAGCTATTTAGGAGTTTGGAACGGTGCATGCGCGTTCACAAGTCTTAAGAAGCAAAAACCACGACGTCCAAGGTTGCAATCGCCGAAGGGGGCTTTCACCCCATGCACCCAGGTCCGTCACTGCTATTAGTATCGTGCCTTTGTCGCATTTCAGGACAAGGTTCTGCTGAGGAAGTTCCAGGGCCTTACGCAGGGCACGTTTACCGTATACGGCTGTTTCGGTGGCCTAAATCAGGAATTTGTGGCCTCAGGCAGTGAAGGTGAGTGGCTCTCCCATGCTAGATGGCGCAGAATATATTGTTTTTGCGTTTGGGTATACCATGTGTATCACGTTTTGCAGCAGCATAGATAGCTGCAGACCATGTGGGTTAAGGTGTGGTTTGTCATATGCCTGTAACCATGTCCTCTTTTTGGCCCGAATCTGATACTCACACTTTTACGCGGGATATTTGTGTTTGTACATTTTTATTGGCACCTTTTAAAGCATGGCGCTTTGGATCAACCTAAGTTCTGACCGAATGTGTCTGCTTTCGCTTAGTAAATGTGTGGCATTGTGATGTTTAATCATCTTAAGTCGTCAGCAGATGTTAACCTCCGCAAAACGGTCTTCATCTTGCCAATTATAACGTCAGTATAACCTTCCGTGGAGAGTGATGCGTAATCCATGACATCTCCGCTGACACCACTTTGTGTTGTCAGCGGAGATGTCGCGTGCTATCGGTGTGCGAGCCTACATAACGTCCATGTTCAGTGTAACGCGTACCCGTGGTGGTGGTGCTCTGGTGGGACGTGTACGTGTGCTGCTTGCGTTCCATAGTATAACGTCTATAGTGTTCCATAGTATAGCGTGTTCACGCGTTGCCTGTTTTCTAGGTGCATCTTGTCAACGCATAAGTATACACCAGTGTTTCAGGGTGTCTGTTTCAGCGGAGCGTATGCATAAGTGTGACGTGGCTGCATGGCTGCGCAGCCGAAGCGCCCGAAGCCCCAATTACTAGTGTTGCGCGTACATGTCTTGCACGTGTTTGCGTTCGTATTCCAGGATGTAGCACGCACACGTCTGGCATGTGCTTCAGCGTGTGACGCGCACACGTGGCGTCTGTGTATTACGTTTAACATGAACATTTGCCACCCGGGTTCTATAGTGTTGGTGTGCGCCTGTCGTCCGGGTTCCCCAGTGCAGTACGTACTGTCCATGTTCCAGAGTGCAACGTGTACATTTGGAACACGCGGCGCGAGAAGCCGGTGGCCGTGCTGCAGGGCCACACCAACACGGTCAACTGCGTCACCTGGAACCCGCAGTGCCCCAGCATGCTGGTGTCGTGCAGTGACGACAGCACCGTGCGCGTCTGGGGTCCGGCGGGCCCGCACCGAGCCGCAGGTGAGCACCGCTCGGCCGGTGACGACCCCACTGAGCTCGCACGGCGCCCGCCGGCCGTCGGTGCCGGCCTCGGCCGGGCCAGCTGGTGCAGGGCTGGTCGCAGGGGCGCCCACCGCTGTGACGACGCGCCGTCGATGTCTGGTGCGTTGACGTGACGCTGTGCGCCGTCGCTGCGCCACATAACACCGTGGGCCGGTGGCGGCGCCGGAGCGACGGGTGTGGTCAGAAGCAGGCGCTCTCACAGACGGCTGGCCAGGCGGCGGCGCCAGAGCGACGGGTGTGGTCAGGAGCGGGCGCCCTCACAGACGGTAGGCCAGGCGGTGGCGGCGCCAGAGTGACGGGTGTGGTCAGGAGCGGGCGCCCTCACAGACGACTGGTCAGGCGACGGCGCCAGGCGACGGGTGTGGTCAGGAGCGGGCGCTCTCACAAACGATGGTCGGTCAGGAGCGGGCGCTCTCACAGACGGTAGGCCAGGCGGTGGCGGCGCCAGAGTGCGGGTGTGGTCAGGAGCGGGGCGCTCTCACAGATGGCTGGTCAGGCGGCGGCGGCGCCAGATCGACGGGTGGGGTCAGGAGCGGGCGCTCTCACAGACGGCTGGTCAGGCGGCGGTACTGCGGCTGCCTTCGACGGCGGCCGATTTGGTGGCGCTGGCTGACGCTGCGCTCCGTGTTTCAGCGACGGGCCGGGCGGCTGCTGCCAGCAGCGGGGCTTCCGATCTCGCGAGCAACGGCTCGTCGGCCACGTAAGCGTGGCCGCCGGTCACGCCGTGCCTTGGCCGCCCGGGCGCTTTCTCGTCACAGTGGTCTCAGCAGGCGGTGCGCTCAGGGGCGCGGGGCGGCCGCTCGGCTCGGACGAGCCACCTCTGTGCCGCGTGGAGCCGGCCGCCTCTGCCGTCGCCGACAGGCGCGCCGACTGCCGCCCACCTCATCACGCGCCCGGCGACAAGCGAACCGGCGATCTGACGTCAGACGTCTCATCCCGCTGCCGGCGCGGGCCGCTCCGCCCTCTGCTGGTGGGAACCGCCCGCCCCTCCCTCCGCCGGTGGGGGCCGGCCCTCCCTCTGCCGGTGGGAGCCGCCCCGCCCTCCCTCTGCCGGTGGGAACTGCCCCGCCCTCCCTCTGCCGGTGGGAGCCGCTCCCCCTGCCGGTGAGGCCGCCCAGCCCTCCCTCCGCCGGTGGGGGCCGGCCCTCCCTCTGCCGGTGGGGCCGCCCAGCCCTCCCTCTGGTGGGAGCCGTCCCGCCCTCCTGCCGCTAGGAGCCACCCCGCCCGTCCCTCCGCCGGTGGGGGCCGTCCCTCCCTCTGCCGGTGGGAGCCGCCCCGCCCCTCCCTCGGCCGGTGGGAACTGCCCCGCCCCTCCGTCGGCCGGTGGGCAGGACCTGTCCCTGTTTTCTGGCGACGTTGGCATCTCCCGCCCTCGGCCGGTAGAGCCGTCCCTGACGTTCTCGCCTGTAGCCGGCTTTGTCCTCTCAATGTTAGCTGACTAAGCCTTTACCCGGTGTCAGCCAGACTAACTAGCCCTCCCCCGATGTCAGCTGTCTCATCGTCCTCATGGCAGCCTCCTCGTCCTCCCGGTGTCATCCAGTTCAGCCCGTTCCCAGCTGTCAGCGGGGCCATCCGGCCTTCGCAACGCTTCTTTTGTAAGGCCCCCAGCCTCGTATGGCCTGAGACTGCCTTGCTGCACGCAAGCCTGGGATGGGAACGGTACGAGCTGCTCGAGTGGCGTGGAATGCCTGCTCTCTTGTGCGTGTGTGGCAAGGCAGGCATCCGTACAGCACTGGTTAAGAATGGTATCTGGAGAGGTTGGCTCAGGAATCTCGTGCAGAGTGGATATCTGCAGCATAGTATGGAGTGGCATGCATGTGCCGTGGCATGGTTTGTGTGTGGCGTGGGCGGCAGCTTGATCCAGGTGAGAGGGTCTGCGTCGGTGGTATCCAGAGCGTCGCAATCGGGCGTTGCGCTGTGTGCCTGGCTCTACCATCTTGGCTCGGCTCTCTGCCTTCCGCCACAGCCTAGCGGCCTGTTGCCGTGCCGTTGCTTGCGCGAGCGGCCCGACCCGGCCGCGGGCTGCCCCGCCACCAGGTCCGTACCAAGCTGGCTTGCTTCAGTCGAAAAGCCCCGCCCGGCCGCCGGCCCTCAACCGTCCCGTGCTGTCCCATTTCAGGCCAGTCCTACCGACTGATCACACCCGTCCCAGCTGGCGTACTGCGGTGCGGACCGTCTTGCATTTGTGCAGATCGGTCTCCAGGGGTGACTGACGGGCCCAGGCCGGTGGGGTGGGGCGCTGATGCCTGTCGACGACGGGCAGTGGTTCCTGCTGATGGCGGGCGGTGGTGCATGCTGATGATGGGTGGTGGTCCCTACTGGTGGCGGGCGGTGGTCTCTGCTGGCGGGGGATGGTGGTCCCTGCTGACGGCGGGTTGCGGTCCCTGCTGACGGTGGGCGGGGGGGGGGTCCCTGCGGACGTCGGGCGGCGGCCCCTGCAGGCTTCGGCTGGTGGCCCCTGCTGACGTCAGGCGGTGGTCCCTGCTGACGGCGGGCGGTGGCCCCTGTTGACGGCGAGCGGTGGCCCCTGCTGCCGGCGGGCGGTGGTCCCTGCCGCCGGCGGGCGGTGGTCCCTGCTGACGGCGGGCGGTGGTCCCTGCCGACTGCGGGCGGTGGCCCCTGTTGACGGCGGGCGGCGGTCCCTGCTCTGGAGAGTCGGTCCCCGGCAGTGGCAGTTCATCTAGGTCGGTCTGGAGGGGTTCAGTCGGCCGAATCGCGTGTGCTTGATGCGGGCCGACACGGACGTGTGGATCGCGACCAAACGCACTGCAGTTCTTTGTGGGCTTTAAATCATTAGATTAGAAACTTTTAGAGGCGAGTGAGGTGACGTGGAGCCCAGAGACATGTTTACAACGTCTTGTCCACATCGTGCACCGATGTTTGTATGCTAATTTCGGTTGGTTTCTTCGCCTGTTTATATCCTGTGGCCACTAATCGAGCGGAGGCCGGTGTGCCCCGCACGCTACTGGGAGACCGGCCGCCTGCCGGCCGGAGCTCGGGAGTGGCGTCTCCGTAGAGCGCCGGCGCGCCAGCTCACAGCCGACGCGCGGCGTCCGCTCCCGCCGCCCGATTCGATGTGTTCTAAACTGTGTGCGACGTCTGAATAAACTGTCCTTTTAGTCGTGACGTTGCGGACGGGTGGCTCTTGCTGTGACGCTCGAAGGGGAGCAGCAGCGGTGCGGGGAGCTTGCTGGTAAACTCGAAATGATGTCCGTGGGAGGCGTTGTCTGTTGGGCTCGGCAGTGGCGGCTGGGCGGTCTCATTATTTTGGGAACTACTTAGAACGCGGTGCTGAATGTGTCACAAACTCCTTGTCTTGCGTGTAATATGTTCTCCCTTGAGCACCGTCGAAGGGCAGTGATGTACTACCACTCTTGCGTCTGTGTGTATCATGAGGTCTCTTATCGAGGCGCGTACAGCTATGTAACGTTTGGCGCGGCTACGCAGTACTGGACGAAAATTATTTCGGAAAACCTTCGGGATAGTTCAAGTTTACCCGCACCCGAGCACGCGCTAGTGTTGAGTTTATTGAGGGTTTGCATCCACGTATTTTTCATGTATCGGCAAAGCACCATCGCATCCTATTTCGATGGTATGAAAATAAATCCACAAACATCTGGCCACTCGGCCAGTGTTCAGCGCCACTTCCATAGCTCGTCTGCGTGGTTGCAATCCTCTACCTTTTACCATTGTACAATCGTTTGCGTAATGGAATGTAATAGATTGCCGGAAGGAATCAAAAACATTAGTTATCATTGAACTGAAAAACATTAGTTATCATCGAACTGAATAACAAGGGAGAAGTCGTGTCACCTTGCGCCAGCCCATTTTCTTGCTCAAATATATCCGATAACTGACTACATTTCATTTGGAATGTCCTACATCCTAAATACGCTTGTATATCATCCATCAACCGCCCTCTAAATCCCGGACTGTACAGTTTCCAGAGGGGAGGAGATCAAGCTGGGGTAAAGGTCAAATTAAATTGCCTTTTAATCTCCGGGGGAAGGGGATCCGCGCGGCACTCCAGACGGTATTTCAGGAGGCACGGCCATGCTAGCAACATGCCACTTGGCGTGGCGGGTGGTCTTACTGAAATAACGATGAAATCGACTGAGATTTGCGATTTTACATCAACTAGCTTTTATTGCAGGAACGGTCTTGCATTCCATTTGCATGGAACACTTAACTGCGCATGCAAACGGAAAGCTTTATAGAACGATATGGGCATAGGGAGTGCTTTTGGGATCATCCGTGCGAAGGTATGATGCTAGGGAAAAAGAGTAAATCAAATGTCAGAGGCTGTAGCAACGGTGTGCGCATTTTTCACTTCGGCGGTTAAGCAGGCCGCCATAATATAACGACGTAAATCACGGCACAGGTACTTATAAAAGCATAACGTCTCTGCCCCATTCCTTGAAACTTTTGGGCTCAAGGGCAGGCGAATCTGCAAACTAGTCCGTCGCCTTTCGCTTCCTCAAAGACAAATCCAATCCAGTTCCGTCAAGGAAAGCGCATATATTTTCAGAATGCCCTTGAGAACTTAGTCGCGTTTCAGCCCAACTCAACACATGAAACATGAAGCCCACATGGTCAGCGTGTCTTTCCGAATTGACATTAGTCTCCAGTTCGTTAAACGCGTGTCCGTGTGGCCGGTTAAATGCGACGTCCTCGGGTGGGCAAGTCAAGTTGCCCCGCCCCCTGAGACCTCAAGAACTGAGCGGACTGGAGACACCAAGCTCGTGTGGTAGGCGGGGCTCTGGGGTCTCATTTACTTCAGGCTTTGAGCTCCCTAGACTATAAGCTTTGTGTCAAATGAGGTCAAACAAGGTCAAACTCCACATCGGTGTCCGAGGTACCCCAGACCTCATGCCACGGAAACGGCATACGAGTTAGTTCCTTGGCTTGGGAAAGCAAACCGGCAAGCGTTTGTAATCGTCTAAAAATCATAATTGGTTACGACAGGAGCAAAGAGAATGCAAGAACACCAGATGACGTGAAATCACGGTCAGAGCTACTGCGATATCTAGAATCCTAGGTATGATTATGCGGTCATTGGTTTCCTAGAATGAAGCAGGAGGGTGAAACATGGCGTACCTGTCTGCACGACAGAAGTGAAACAGCATACGGGACTCGGACCCAGCGTTAAAGTGCCAGCAGTCTGACCTACCAATCAGCCTAATGGCAATGAAATTGAAATGCTAGAAAATTTACTTGAAAATTACCGGCAGAAATGTGATAGATGTAAAAAATGTGTAAGTTCTATATGCATATATATATATATATATATATATATATATATATATATAATGATCTGTTAAAAAGCTGTGACATCATATATTGCACCGTTCTCCAAAAGTTAGAAAACCGAGTAATGCAATGTTCTCATGTCAGAAGTTTCGTTTATTTCACTAGACCACAAAGCAGGTCACCATAATTAATACGAAGTCGACAAAACAAGTTACTTCTAGCGAAGAAAGAGCTGAAAGTAGCCAGAATTAGAGGTGAAATAGGTAAAGTTTTCAGATAGTACAAAAGTACCGCAAACTACGCGTGTCCGTGAAGTACCGCAAAATGAAAAGCACAAGGTGGGCCTTATCTAGCACATGAGAAATTACCCCTCCAAAAACAGCTAGTTCACTGGACGTGCGACATCTGACATTAATATGACAGATATGTTAAAAATTATCTACATTTGTCCATTTGTCCGCTCACTTGTCCTTACCAAGGCATAATCTTCCACACACAATGATTGTAAAAGTTAATAGAGTGTTGCATGCAAAAAGTGTAGCATGTGAGGAAAACCATCTGGGTTAACAAAGCAAAAATAACTACACACGGGGCTTTAAACTGTAGACTTCTTGCTGGGGCCGTCCACAAATTGCGTTACGCATGGTGGGGAGAGGTTTTGATGGAGGGTAACCAAACGTTAGTAAGGGGATGGATAGTTTTAGGCAAGGTGATATTACGTTCACATAGGGCGGCAAATCACGCTAAAATTTTTAGGGAAGCATGTAATCCCGTGAAGCAGGATGCTGTTACCTCTCATGACAAAAAACACGCCCATTATTGCTTTGTATTTCTGGCTTAAGCATCGGCTAAACGGTACTTTTTGGAGGTTAGGCTTAACACCAGAGTGACCAGGGGGGGGATGAGTCTGCGGGGCTGACGGACGGCACCTGACCGGACCGGGCCTGTGGTTCCGCCCGAGCCATCGCCGGCACCTGGTGGCCGTCCGACATCAGTCCTGCCGGTCCAGCTCCTGCACGAACCGCAGATCAGTTCCCCTCATCTTGTCGGCCATCCAGCGCTCAACCTTGGCATTCATCTCCGGAGTGAAGTAGTTCTTCCAATCGCCTGTTTTGCCCTTTCGGACAAAGTTGCCCTGGTCCGCGTGCATCAGACCTTTCCCCTTAAGGTCCTCTCTGTTCACGTAAGGATTGTTTTTGAAGTTGTCGATGTGCAGGTGATGGGCCAGCTTCTCCACCTGTTCGTCCGAGTATGACTTGCCGAGGAACTTGGCCACCCTGCGGATCTCTGTCTTCAGATCATGCTTCATGTCCTCGAAGAACAGGAAGCACATGTTGGGATGATGACGCAGGTTCCATGCCTCAATCATATGGTCGATCACCTTACTCTCCATTATGCTGCCATTTATCATATTCTCCACGAACAGCTGGAAAAAGGCATAAGTCTTATGTCTGCTCCGAGGGCAGTGGTCGTTTAGGCCTCAGCACACGGGTTATTGCAAGATTGAGCCCTACCACGCAAAAATGGGATGTGTGGGGCGATCGATGTCTTGGGCACGTTCCTTTCGATGAAGTATCATGCGTATGCTAATTTGGGGACATGTAGGACATTGGGGGATTCGCCGCTGTCATATGCGCAGAAATATGGAAGTAAGGGGTCTTCCGCATTCATCTTTCGCAAAAGTGAAATGTGCCGAAGCTGGAAAAGTTTGGACGCAATGACGAATGATTTGGAGGAGGAATTATCTGACGTACCACCAGGGAACTTGTTATTTTGTTTGTTATGAGGTGCGAAAGAGTCAGAATCGGTCTACATTATCTAAAGTGAAATCGTTGCAAAATTGTCAAGGCAGCACACTCAAGATGAGTGCATTGAGGGGGGGGGGGAAATGTGCAAAGTACTTCTTACTGGCTACCAGCTAGCCAGCTACGTAAGCCAAAATTACAGCACTGACGCCGGTAGATTGTTGTCTCATTTGTAACAACAATCCAATATTGAATAGATCTCTGGGATGACGCTGGTCAATACATACATGAAGACAGAAGCATGCTCCTGATTCCGCTGGCTTACATTATGTGTCAATAACCTTCGCCTCTCAGAGGGCAGGATGGCATGGAAAGTGCCAGTGACAAAGGATGAATGTAAATATACCCTGACGAAAATTGCGTGTAACAGAGAATGGGGTTTTCACGTACGCTTGGAAAGAGGTGGGGTTCTCAAATGATTTGCAGTTACCAAATCTTAGAATCAGATTTTTTAAACTAACAGGCTAGACATGACTAACAGAGCACAAACAATCCGTGAACTAGATTCATCAAGGGGAGGTGCTTCGAGGAGGATTTGAAGTTTTAATCAGATGTACTTTATCACCGCATTACAGACAATTTGCTTAGGGTGCTGCTGATAATACATTATCTGAATTCACTTGGATACTCCAGAGCACAACTGGAGCTCATTCGACAGGGACAAAAAATTAACCTGAGACCGGTTTCCGTGTACGTGTGGCATCTTTCCGGTGTCCCTCTTAAGCAGAATGCTGTTTAATCGGGTGGCAGAAATGTTAGCCATCAGCGGCAGAAAAAAATCAGTAACTTGCGGGGAAGCAGCAGCACTGGAGAAAACGTAAGCACTGGGTTAAATGTAAGTCGAAACGCAGGCGATTAGATTATTATTTCTCAACCACGAGAAATCCATGGCTAACGTACCTGAGGCATTATCTGCTTTTCTATCTGAATGACATTCTATGACAATAGAAGCTACTCCTATGGAAAAAAGGCAATACATGTCATCACTTTTACACTAAGTTTGTCACTCCTATTGCAAAAAATGCAATAAATGTCATCACTTGTACACAAAGTTTAGAACCGAAGCGAGCGCCGGTCAAGCTATTAAAATGGAAGGAAGATGATTGTTGGAACACTGGTCCACCATACATGAACTTCCCTGCGGATGTAGCGCGTCCATGATGCTTTTTTCGCTACAGTCCAAGACTCTCAACATATGTGTCCCAAGAATGCAATCCCTATGTATTTAGGTACAAGAGGTGAGGTGAGTTGGCCGCTGTGTCGAACATATTTTGGAACGGATATTGGTCGCACTTCTGATACAAGTGTGTGTGGACGGTAGAAGATGATGTAATAGAAGGCTGTTACGATCAAACTGTTAACTGTTACGATCAAAAACGGGCCGCGTAAAGGAAGTCTGAAAATGCCATACTTTCTTACTCTAGCAGCTTGGGGGATTTGCTGCTTCTATATCTCAGTTGTGCCTTACACTGGGGGATGTTGCTCGGCGGTGGGTACGCCACTGGCTACAGATTTCCAGCCAGGCTTGTCACAATCATGTACGGACAGTGAGCTCGACGCGATGAGAGAACTCCTCCTTCCCGTCGTAAAACTTGCATCTCCAGAAAAAAAAACATTTGTTTAGTTACAGAACAGGCCTGAGTTCGTATTATGCGGCGGTCCAAGCACTACGAAAAGACGGATGCTGGAAGACTATCACATCTTACGGAACTGGTAAAATGTCTGGATAACTACAACTCGTTCATCGACATACAGGGTCTTACTTTTGTCTCTAAGCCGTAGGGATTTAGTACCAGGTCATCAAATTTGCATGAGTATATCTGTGGGAACCAGTGACATTTCGAAAGGCTGCAGTTCGCGGTGGGGTTTGTTTTTTATTACGCGCCGCTGCAGGCATGTCGCATTGTTAGTAAAAGGGGATATTCCACATTTGTATGGAGTTTTGATTTGAAATAGCTATTTTTAAGATCATTCTCTGCAGTCCAGATGTATATGCCCTGTTGAATGCCTCAAATTTTCTCGTGTCTGAGCTAGGCGCATGCAAACTTGTGGTCTATTTCGCGCAGCCTAATCATCCAGAGATGTATGGCGTTACGGGAACGTTACTCAAATTCCACTCTTCAATGGCCATGTCATGTTCGGTATTAGGCAAAGCATGAGCATCGGCTTGATCGTCTCTGGAGTATGCCAGTAAGATTCATCCAGGTTAGCGTGTCAAGCGCAAGTTTCGAACACGAGCGCGTTTAATGGTGCTGGTATTTGAGTATTAAATTAAATGAAACATTAAACTTAAAAACAGCATTAAATTCCACCAATTATAATAGAAATGAGGCTGAGAATCGAATAACTTGATAACAACGCCACAACCGAGAATGCGAATGCGAGTAAAAATATGAAATCACGGAGAAATATACAGGAGCACCACGAAAAAGAGCCAACGCACAATATGTCAATCGGAATTCGGTCTAGTACACACTAGAGGTGCTGACTGGATTCCAATGCTTTTAATGTTCCAACTTTCCAAAGTCCAATTTAGAAATGGATAGGCAAGGCAAGATCTTCGGAATTTTTAGACTTACGGTTCCATTCTGATGTGACACAAATCGGCATGCATTTTAACTTATCTAGCGCGTGCTCGGGTGAGGGTCAGTTTGAGTCAGGTCACCTCTCGGTGACCTGACTCAAAACTGCAACAAAACTGTCAATTCACGTCTGACTTGGAGCACTACAGGTGAGTTAGTCCGTCTACTTAAGTGACATTTCCGGTATGGCTAGTCTGACAGCAGCTCTGACGTCGTGGAAACGCACCACGACATTGGAATGATGACGTGTTGAAGAGTGTATTTACTCAGAAGTGAAATTGTGTTGTCTAACGCAGCCATTTATGCGGGTATTAGTTAAAGTATACCAATAACTACGAGTGAACTTTTGTCATCATGGCTCATGCTGACCTCAATATCTTCCATTGTGAAACGTTCCCTTAAGACTATAACTTAACACTGACGTGCGGGCCGTCAATTTCAAACAGCACAACATACCTCCAGGTCTCCCGTGAAATCGTGGCACTGGAAGAGTTTGCAGTGATGGTAGTAAGAAACGCAGATGTCCTTTGGGTTTCTGGCCACGTAGACGACCTTGCAGACGTCGAGAAGGCGCGGGTTGTTCATGCACATCGGCAAGTGTGTCTTGATGAAACGTGGAGACGGACGGTTGGGGTCACCGGTCAACGCGGTCGTGTCTTGGAGACCGCCATTGGCGGATAACGGTAGGAAGCGCCCAATGATATCCTTGTCTACAAGGGCAGCAAACTCGATGTAGTTCCACCTGCAAACAGACGCGGCACAGCAGCATGTCTCAGTGTGATAGACAGACCTAGACTGAGCTATCATCGGTATGCGTAGAAGCATTTTTAGCATCATAGTCCTGTACAAATGTTTCCTTGCCAACTGTCAGCACAAATATTTCATTTTTGCCTTGTTGAAAAATTTGAGATTCGTGATTTCATTGGCAGTGGGCATGTGCATATCACGGTCCAAATGTGTTAAGGCTGTCTAGATAAAGCTGAACTTTTACCCTGATGGTGGGGTGGAGATCGGTGCGTCCTTTTTAAGACAACCATTTTAAATACCATGCCGGCCAAACAACAGCTGACAAACGCACCGGGTGGTTGTTATTCGGATATCTATAAATTAATCGCTGTAGTTCACGAAGCAATCAAGAGATGTTGGCAGCGCTTGTACTCGTGTGGCACCGTCCTCACGAGTATGACACCGGTTGCGGACGAGAGGGTTGGGTTCACGCGCCCGTTACGGGGGAAGGAGGGTCCACGCTCCAGGCCGAACGAGCAAGTAACCGGATATATCTTCAGAGGGTAGCCGAGTGTTAAGGTATTTGGCCAAGGCATCCTACAAAAGCGATATCTCCCAACTGAGAAGGAGATGTTAAGTCCTAGGCAGCAGCCAGCGGCGGACGCAATGCACTTTTAAGACACGCTGGTAAGCGGCCTCCTGGCGCTGGCGCCCACCCGCTCGCGGCCTCTATTCGACAGGCGGCGCCAGCGTCGCACTCTCGCAGGGCTCCTGCAGTACGTGGCGCACGAGATTCCCCTAGTCAAAGTCCATCGTACGTTTTCATTATGAATTTATCATGATGCCAACTGACAAGACAGTGACAACAGCCTTGTTCTTCGGAGAAAAGAAGCAGGAGTGTGGAGATATAGATGCGTTGATATTTCGGCAACATGCATTCATCGGAACGAATGGCAGAAGTAAATTCAAAATTGCCTGCCAATGATCCTGCTCGATTTTTCAGCTTTTTTATTGAAACAGTGAGCCACAATTTTTACAGGGCAACGACGTTCAGGGAATTCAACAAGGAGCTTTGTCAGGCATTACTACGATACAGTGCATATCTAACTAAGAATTATAATACGCGAAAATACGTGTACATGCGAACAAATTCAAGTTAACAGGCATCGCGCGTCACGCTTCATTCCAATTTGCAAGCGAGCTGAAGTTAACAGGCATCGCAAATCACACATCAATGATACATGCGAGTGATTCCAGTTAAACAGACATTGCGCATCGCAATTTATGCATCACTTACACATGTCAACGATTTTAAGCTAGCACATATCACACATGAAGGCAGATATCACGTCGGCATAATCGGCCGTGATGAGCCCTGTACATGAAGGTTTGGCCATTGACCTTTTATAGGAAAAGGTTCCCTTATTTTCATGTCTGGGTGGTCCGGTGCTCCGTAGATGACTTTGAGCTCTAAAAGGGGCATTGGGTCCATACCTTCTGTATCTCAGCCCGAGCGTGTTTTGCCAAAAACAAAAACCAAAATGGTCTTTTTTGTTTTTGTTGTTTTTTGTCAGACAAGCCTGTATTGTTTTTGTTTTTTGTTTTAAAAAAATGCATTTTAGCGTCTCGTGGGTGTTCATTACATCTCAAACGAATAGGGCGCGTGGCCTCCCCGACATAGACTCTGTTCCTTACATGTTTTTTCGCACAGCTTACACTTAATTTCGTAAACCACGTTTTTTGCGTGCAAACCCCTTAAAACGCAGACTTGCATAAATGACATATATTGCCACCCGGGCGCTTAGGCTTCGATATAGAAGATTTCACCAGACCTAGCATCTCGAAGCCTAAGTGTCTGGCTAGCAAGAGATGTCATTTATGCCAGTCATGTTTCAAGGAGTTTGCACGAAAAAAACGTCGTTTACGAAATTAAGTGTAAACTGCGTGAAAAAACTGGGAGGGACATGGTCTATGCCAGATAGTTCATGCGCTCTATTCGTTTCAGATATCATGAACACCTGCGAGACGCTAAAAATAAAACAGGGCATACCCGTTTAAGTGATTATTCTTCTTTGGCAAAATACGCTCAGGCTGAAAAACAGAACGGTATGGGACCATGTGCCCCTTTTAGAACTGAAAGTCATCCACAGAGCACAGGACCACCCAGACAGTGATAAGTGAATCTGCTCTTATAAAAAGTTGATGACCAAACCTTAACGTACAGCGCTCATCATGACCGATCATGCCAACGTGATATGTGCTTTGATGCGTGATGAGTGCTAGCTTAAAATCGCTAACACGGGTAAGTGATGCCTGACGCCTGATGCGCGATGTCTGTTTGACCAAAGTCGCTTGCATGTATAATTGATGCGTGATGTGCGATGCCTGTTTACGTGGGCTCGCCTGCATGTTTGAATGAAGCGTGATGTGTGATGCCTGCTTACTTGAGTTCGTTTGCACTTACGCGTATTTTCGCGCATTTAAATTTTTAGCTAGTGGCTCGCTGTGGCTCGCTGTTTCGGCAAAAAAAGACTGAAAAATCCAGTAGGATCATCGTTAGGCCATTTTTGATTCACTCCTGCTATTGTTTCGATAAGGGCATGCTGTCAAAATACCAACGCATCTATATCTTCCCTGGTTTTTCTCCGAGGAATAAGGTTAGTACTACTGATTCATCTACGTGAAAAATGCTCTTCGCAAGTTCACTTAACGACTTACGTAATCACACCAACTGGCACGAACAAGGCGAAAAACCTGCCTGTCGGGCATAAGAGGCGTCTTGGCTCCCTCGTAGTCCAGATCGTTGGCGATGAGCCACACCATCTCCTGGGTCCAGGTAGTGCCACACTTGGGTGGCGTCACCACCCAGACGTCCCGCGGGTCCAGCGGGTAGTTGTACAGGTCCTCCAGCTCGGCCTCTGTGACGGTAGCCGACAGCTTGTGGCCCCAGTGGTTGCATGACGCTAGTCCATTTGGGAATCCTCGGAAGTTCTGGGCCACGTTCTTCTGAATCTCATTTTCTAGTTGCAGGATCTTAAAAGGGAATGGTTTGCGATCGGAGGACGCCATCTGAAACGAAAATATCGCAGTTTTCTCATATTAGATGTAACTTTACGAGCAACACAAACCTACTAAAACACCTATATACTTGCTGCAATTAGCCCACACCCAAAATGTCAACATGCATTCTTCTGGCTGGACTGGCTTTACCAATTTCAATCCTCGTTTATTTTTATTTGTTCGCCTCAGTGCATTGATTGTTTAGTCCACTCGTCTCAATAAAATGAAATCGCGAAATTTCTTGAACTGCTTACGGATACCCATGACCTGAAACACTTGAGCGCAAACATCGCCAGTGCCGTGTTGATCACGACGTAATCTGACACGGACACAACTAAGCAAATAAACCCGCTGGCACACTCCCTCGACCTCAGAGTGTGCCCCTCCCCATCCCGCATGTTTGGAAAGCCTCGCAGCTGCCGGCAGCCGCGTGGCGGCGGCGGCCAGCAGAGCTATCGCGGCCGGTGTGGGCGGCGTGAGTAGGGCGCCGCCTGCCAGCGCGGGTCGGTGGGCGCGCTGTGCGCGGCTCGTGGCAGAGAGCCGGGCGAGCGGGCTGCGCTCGCTCGCCCCGACCTTGAACCTTGAACCGGCTCAAGGTCTATCTTGAAGTCACCCAACCTTGGCAGATCGCTGACCGTCTACCGCCAGACGGTCCTCAGTTTATAGGCACGTTGTACATCCTGCAATGGTTGGGCATGGAACCCCTCGCTGACGGAAATGAAACTATGCTTAAGTTTTTAAAAACAAATGCAGTCGTCTCCCATGCTCAACAATCTGCTGCCCAAGCAACGAGTGGTGATCTACGGCAGAAACACCTGGAGTGTTTCTGAAACACATGGTGCTGACGTATGCAGAGCTGTCCGCTGTTGGGGTGTCTGGTGCGCTGGCCGACGGAAGCGAGAACATCCGCGGGCTCCGTGGAGCATCGGATGGTGCCACTCCCGACATTGCGGGGACACCCGCAACGGCCTTTTAAACGGCAGCGACGCGCCACGCGTCCGTCAGTACGGCAGGCCCAGCACAGCGTATGGTGCCGCACTATCTGGGCGCGCTCGTTGACGCTGCCCTCCGCGAATGACGACCGATCAAAGCCCGGTGCGGGTTTGGCCACGCCCCACACATTCCGGCACTGGTCGCCCGCCCGGCCCGCCCCCAGCTGTTACCATCACGTAAACGCATTGAGCGCGCGTTGGTCACGTGACCATCACCTTGACTGGTTCTTGTCCTGGTTGTTGTCCGGTCCCGAGAAGCCGACAGCACATGCTGCGTCGACGTGGGAACACGGCCAGGCGTCCAGGCTGGGAGCATCGCCCGCGCAGGACACGTCCAGGCTGGGAGCATCGCCCGCGCAGGACACGTCCAGGTTGGGAGCATCGCCCGCGCAGGACACGTCCAGGCTGGGAGCATCGCCCGCGCAGGACACGTCCAGGTTGGGAGCATCGCCCGCGCAGGACACGTCCAGGCTGGGAGCATCGCCCGCGCAGGACACGTCCAGGTTGGGAGCATCGCCCGCGCAGGACGCGTCCAGGCTGGGAGCATCGCCCGCGCAGGACAGTTGCTGACCTCTTGTTCGCCCCAGTGCCAGGAGAAGTAGAAAACTGAACAAATCCCTTCTTTGGGACCGATGATAAGAACGCGCGGCTTATAAATGACAGTGAAAAAGGCGTATATAGCAGTACGCCACCATACTTTTTATCGTTGACCGTCTTTTAAATAACATTGTGTAAATCGGTGATGACGCATTTCCAACGTTGTGGCTTTTACATATCACGTCGACTAAAAGAGCAAAAGAACATTTCGGATAACGTGACCTAACTCTCTTGACATGAACTTCACGCCTGACCTTGGATACCATTACGCTATCACGGCACAGTAGCCAGTCATTGGTTTGGTACCGGTCCCAACACTGTGCGACCAATGTGTTCCAAATGCAGCTGTTACAGAGTTCTGAAGTTAGTGGACAATGTTTGACTGATAATAATATATAGAGCCCTGAGATTAGTCGAGCTTGGTATTGACATTTCCATCGTGACAAGGTGCAGTGGAAGCATGGATTGTTATTTCCGCTTGAGTATTCGTCTCATGCACTCCATCTGGGTGTTGGAATTTTGCTGCCAGGATGATGCGGGCTGGCCACGTGCCGCTAGAACTCGATCGCGATGCGATTGCGAACGTAGTATAACCATGCGCCGGCGCAGACGTATATCACTGCGCCGACGCAGACTTACATAACCACTGCGCCGAGCAGACGTATATAACCACTGCGCCGGCGCAGACGTATAAACCACTGCGCCGGCGCAGACGTATATATTACTGCACCGACGAGACGTATATAATAACTGCGCCGACGCAGACGTATATAACCACTGCGCCGGCGCAGACGTATATAATTACTGCACCGACGCAGACGTATATAATCACTGCGCCGACGCAGACGTATATAACCACTGCGCCGACGCAGACGTATATATCCACTGTGCCGGCGCAGACGTATATATCCACTGCGCCGACGCGGACGTATATAACCAATGCGCTGACGCAGACGTATATAACCATTGCGTCGACGCAGACGTGTATATCCACTGCACCGGCGCAGACGTATATAACCACTGCGCCGACGCAGACGTATATAACCACTGTGCCGACGCAGACGTATATATCCACTGCGCCGACGCGGACGTATATAACCATTGCGCCGACGCAGACGTATATATCCACTGCGCCGACGCAGACGTATATAATCGCTGCGCCGACGCAGACGTATATAATCACTGCTCCGGCGCAGACGTATATATCCACTGCGCCGACGCAGATGTATATAACCACTGCGCCGACGCGGACGTATGTAACCATTGCGCCGACGCGGACGATATATCCACTGCGCCGACGCAGACGTATATAATCACTGCGCCGACGCAACGTATATAACCACTGCGGCGACGCAGACGTATATAATCACTGCGCCGACGCAGACGTATATAACCACAGCGCCGACGCAGACGTATATGACCATTGCGCCGACGCAGGCGTATATATCCATTGCCGGCGCAGACGTATATAATCACTGCGCCGACGCAGACGTATATCACTGCGCCGCGCAGGCGTATATAATCACTGCCGGCGCAGACGTAATATCCACTGCGCCGACGCAGACGTATATAATCACTGCGCAGGCGCAGCCGTATATAATCACTGCGCGAACGCAGACGTATATAATCACTGCGTCGGCGCAGGATATAATCACTGCGCCACGCAGACGTATAGTATCCACTGCGCCGGCGCAGCCGTATATAATATTGCGCCGACGCAGACGTATATATCCACTGCGCCGGCGCAGCGTACATAATCACTGCGCAACGCAGACGTATACATCACTGCACCGGCGCAGCCGTATATAATCACTGTACCGGCACAGCGTATATATCACTGCGCGGGCCGACGTTTAAGCAAGCATTAAAAGATAAACACTGAGCGCCGAGCACTGCGCTGGCTTGCACATATGCTGCTCCAACTAAAGCTGAATCAGCACTAGCAACTGATTCTAGTTTATGTACCAATTTATACAATTATTGGCGAAGGCAAAGATAGCTTTTGTCGATCAGTAGGTTTGCGTGTTCGTCGCTTAAGATGATCGAGAGAATTATATTTACCTACGCTGACTCGCATCCAGTTCGTCGGTCTAGACACCAGGCAATAGGACTTTGCATTACGGAACGAGTCAATGAAAAGGAGTGCGTGGGCACGTCTGTGAGGGGCTTTAAAGGGGGTGTTCCACATTTGCATGGGGTCAAATATGGAACATTCCCTTTAATAACTGAAACACTCCCTTAGTAAACTGAAATCTCATCTTAAAATCAGTCGGTGTGGTTCACAAACCCTTAAGATCTAAACGGTTTCTAGTTTATGAGATACACGCTGCGAAAACACGGACTTTTTCGTGCAGACCTATTTCAACGGTTACCTAAGCTCCATGACGCCACACTAACGTTGTCCAAATTCTGCCATTCCATGACACGTGACGATCAGGCCATGCAAAATAAAATTGTCGGGTCGTTCACATCTGGTGTTCGTGACACGATTTCTAGATATGATGGCCATCTACT